TGCACATTTTACGTACTTCATATGCATAAACATCCATACTCTTTTATCACCTAATGAAAAAAGAATTTCTTCTTATAATGTTCAAACTAATTCCTTTATATGAAAATTAATACAAAAAATTTATTCCACAAAATATCAAAAAAGTTTTCAATGTTTATTAATTTATATATTACGAAAATTTCAGTACATGTGTATACATGAAATTCATTCATATGAATATATTTACATACGTTTCTCCAGATCATAAAATTAATATTGTTTTTCACTGCAAATTTAATTTCTTAAGAAATAGTAAATATACTTTGTCAGCACTGTGTATACATACATACATGTGTACATCTATTTAATGATAAAAAGTCCTTTGACCAAAACGTTTCTATTTATCTTGCATTCACTTTATATTTTCTATTTTATTACAAATTACAAAGATTAGAAATAAAGTTAGTTATATTAGTATAAATATCTAATGTATTTTATTTTGTTTGTCTAGAAAGGGAAAATAAGAGAATTTCATCTTGGGGTAATGTTAAGAGAAAGATATAGTACATTCCTTGGTAGAAGTCATACGTATGGTAGCGTTTATGCCTATAGTACGGATATTGACCGCACAAAAATGTCTCTGCAATTGGTTTTAGCCGGTATATACCCTCCAACATTGACTGACTCAGGTTATTTAGAGTTATCTCCAATACCAGCTTATTACGAACCACTAATTGTAGATAATATATTGAACACTGAAAATTGCCCGAGGTAAGTACATGAATCGATTGAAATACATTGTTGTTTCAAACATATTGAATAATGTTTTCATATTATAGTCACTGCATTAAACAACTCATATTATGATATTCAGGAAAAAATAATAAAATAATACTAATAATTACAGTGCACATGTTTATGCAAGTATTAGCTTGTCCTAAAAGGTTTGTTTATTTTATTGATGAATCATGTTTGGAATTACGATCTGTCCTAATTTATTACTTTCCAAAATACTCCGTCATTCCCAGAAGCTTTATAGATTTGCAAAATTTTGAGGATCTATTAGCAAATTATTTAAGGTGTATTTTTATGTCATTATTGGGCAAAATCTTTTACCGTAGTGGTTTTATTTTTTAAATACAAGAAATAGTAATTAGAAATAATAATTATTATTTCCTTTCATTAAAAAATTTCCTTCATGACTCAATAAATACTTCTTGAAAAATAAATCACAGAAATTTTGGAAGGGTGGAAGATAATATGTAGATTCGAATAGATCATAATTTACTACTAGGATGTAAAACATGAAATATTGTGCACACATTATTTGTTAATAAAACGAGGAAAGTTTTTAGAACAATCTAATAAATACATACGTTGATGGAGTGAAGATAATGGTGCGAAATCAATATAGACAATTCTTTTTTTTTTCATCAAAGATTCCAGAAATCTATTTTCTATTGTACATAAATTGTACAATGCACATAACGTGCATATTTATGTTTTAAAAGTATATGCACAAACATATTGGATATTTTTTGCATATGTATCTAGCATATTTATTCCATGTGCCTTCAATGACTATTCATAAATACCATTGTAATACTATTCATAAACAAACATAGAAAAATTACGTATTGTTTAGTGTAACGCAAATTGTAATATTTCAGTGTAGAATAAAATACAGTCTACATATAATATTTACATTAAAGTAAAAAAATGGAAAAGCTTTATAATACAATAAATTACACAAGCATTTATTTATACATTTACACTGAAAAATCATTTAAATTTCTAAAAAAATGCATTATTTTATGTATGTCTACAAAGTTCCTAATAAAAATTATGAGTTGGTCATTTTGACCATTTTGATGTTACTAATAGGAATGGAATAATTATATAATTTAGTTATAAAATCGAATAACTAAAATTCGGATGTTTATATATATAAAATACAAATTATTTTATTTAAGACAAAGAATAAATAAATAATATGCACCCAAGTGTATACAATATATATTATATAAATTATATAACTATAATATAATCATATATTGTAAAATATATTATATAATTATGTACATAATTATTAAACATAATTATAATATAATTATAATTATATGTTATAAATTATTTTACATATTATTTTATTGAAAACCTGTTGCTTAATTTTTTAACACAGTTTATTTCTATTCCTTAAATAACATAAATTATATCGATATTTTGTATATAAAACAAACAGTAAACCGTAACTTTGTTGTCTGAAATATGTTTTAATTCTAACTCTATTTCTAATTTTAAAAATGTTTCTTCTAGATATAAAAAAGAATATAAAAAGATAAAAGCTACACCTGCAATTGTTTCAAAAGTATCGAAGAACAAAAAACTTTTCGAATATATTGAAGAGAACACCGGTCTAAACATGACAGTGGACCCAATCCTATCAACTTATGGACTGTACATTTTCTTGACGACACAGGTATGTTATGTAAAATTTTTTATTTCATTGTTAGTTACATAAGTTTATAACTCTATATTAACGACATATATAAATGCTATTATGAATATTTTTCTTAATAATTAGGTCAGGGATACAGTTATAATTTTTTTAAAACATTATATAAAAATTCTATTGACAATAACCAATTAACAATTTGAACAATATAGAACAATATAGAAATATGTTTTTCTATATGTATTTCTATATAATATATGTAAGCATAAATAAAATAAGCGATGAAACTCACAGCATATTCATTATAAAGGTGCGGAGTTCGATGAAAGCGACGAGAGCGAAACATATATAGAAATACATCCTTTGTTTAGAAGTAGAAGCGACGCGTAAAACTACACCTACTACAAATATGTGTATATAATACATATTTCGTTTGAAATATCACTGAAATACAGTCATATGTAATACAGTCATATAATATTTTTATTCTTTAAGATACATATCAAGATTATATACATATAAAATTTGACTTTCAATTTACTGTGTAAAAAAATGCACACAATACGGATAATATGTAAAAAAAAATATTGGAAGTTCAACATCCTTTATAACGTTTAATAAGTAAAATAATATTCTACTTAGGTTCTATTTTTTGAATTATATTATGAAAATGCATAAAAATGTGCAGATTTATTGCGCAGATAATTGTGAATGATTACAACAACAAACGTACAAGACGATATTTTAGCATCAACTGAATTCGTCAATTAATAATATTCGGTACAAACGTTACACACTACTGAGCATTCGAATATCTTCTTTTTGCATATCTCTGCAACAAATGTTCTCCAACAGTTCAAACATCAGGGGCTGGGTACAATGATTTTCAAATCTATCAAGAAAAGACTTATAACATTTCATGTTGCAAAAGGGTATTGCACTTTGCAAAAAAAATCGTAAATTAAATATTCAACTACTCAGAATGAAAAAAATTTACTTATTTTAATTCGTCAATTTTTAATAAGAACATATATAATTTTATTATACCATATGATTTTACATTCATACTATTTGATGATTAATTTTGTATAACACATTTCATACAGTTTCATATGAAGTGATAAATCTATTGAAAAATATTATACAATGAAATTCATTTTGTACCTATTTAATTATTGTAATTTTACCACTGCAATAATATATTCTTAATGTTATAGGAAAGTTTGAACATCACACTCCCAGAATGGGCAACTGAAGAAGTGCTAACCAAAATGAAACCAATCGTAGAATTAGAATATCAAATTCGATCTTATAACACATTAATGAAACGACTAAATGGAGGTCATCTTGTACAGGAATTTATCAAAAATATGAATGCAACAAGAAATCAAACTTCTCCAAAGATCTATGTATACAGTGGGCACGAAATAAACGTTGCAGCTTTTGCCAAAGCACACAATTTTGTTGAACCTAAAATACCCAGCTTTGGATCTGCAATTATAGTCGAAAAATTGCGAGATAGTAAAGGAAAATATTTTGTTCAAGTACGTTTTATTATAATGAATAATGTGTGTGTGTGTGTGTGTGTGT